TTACATACAATATTTATTACAGCTTCGTTCAAGAATCTACATCAACTAAAAACAGACAATGAATATTATCGTCTCTGTGTGTGTGTGTGTGTGTGTGTGTGTGTGTGTGTGTGTGTATGTGTGTGTGTGTGTTTTCCTCCTCCCCCTGTCTGTAATCAGATCAGATTAGAGTTTAATTAACGAATTGAAGATCAAACTTTAGAATATCACTTTGGTTTTTGCAGTTTGGATTTCTAAACCAGAAACGGAAGGAGGTGGGTTTCGGTGGTTTGGCTTAAAAATAAAATCTGATTTCTGTTTTATTTCAAACCTCAGTGTTTTAGAGAAGAGACAGCTCCACACAGGTTTCTTTTGAAAATCTACTGACATGAAGAGATTTATTCTAAACTGCAGAAAAACAAACTTTAAAAATTAAAAATCTGTGGAATAAAATGTAATTTAATCTCAACTTAAATCAATTTCTTTTTTTTATTTTCTGATGGATCTTGTTGCTGTACATCTGAGCAGTTTTTAGTTTTCAAAGCACATCATTGGGGCTTTAATTTGTCTTTTTTTTGTTTTGTTTTAACAATGGCAACTTACCTTGTGTTTATTTTTTGTTTTTCTAATCAGGAAAGCAACGTTCGATATGTTCAACTTCCTGGCTTCGCAGCACAGACCGCTCCCAGAGTTTATCGCCCCCTTCGATGAAGACGATGACGAATTCCCGCTGAAAGCCTCCAGGTTAGTTGATTGAATCTCTACTATTCATTAAATATCTGCTATTGATTGGCTCTGACTTCAACTCGTCTTTAACTCGTCTAGACGAGCGACCAGCAGCGAGCTTCCCATGGCGATGAGGTTCAGACACCTGGAAAAAATCTCCAAAGAAGCAGTTGGCGTTTACAGGTAAATACTGGAGAAATATCTGAATGAACTTCAGATTCTTTTGGAACACGACAGAAAGCTTTTTTCCATCTTTGCACGGTAGGTCTCCAATTCACGGCCGTGGACTTTTCTGCAAGAGGAACATCGATGCCGGAGAGATGGTGATCGAGTACGCCGGCACCGTCATCCGAGCCGTCCTGACCGATAAACGGGAGAAATATTACGACAGCAAGGTGAGTGAGAAACGAAACATTTTCCTGAAAATGCTATTTATAAACCGTAAGCACAGTAGTTCAAGTAATCATGTTTAAATTGAATCGCTGAGACAATTTAAAGTCTGACCCCGAGGACTGAGATCAGCCTAAGAGATTAAAGTCATAATCTTAGAATACAGATACAATGTTATCAGAAGAAAAAAGTTGCTTTATTGAGACCGAAGCTTCGATAGTTATCAAGGTCTGACTTGATTTGTTCTTTGAAACAATCGTATTTGTTTGCACCATCATTTCTAATCGTGCTACTGATAATGATCTGATGTTGATGTGTCAAAAGATAAATTATGATCTGATTTATAAAACTGTAATGGAAGTATAACTTCACAAGATGCTAAATATTCCGCATTTTAGTTTTTAAAGTTATGACGCTACTGCTTCATTCTACTAAAAATGAAACTATTCTGGATATATTAAGTTTATTTTTGTGATATTTTAACTTTTTTTTTCCTATTAAAACTTTATCCCAGTACTTTTGTGCCTTTTTATTGTATGACTGTATTATTGCATTGTTGCATATTTATTCTGGTGATATTACATTATTTCCATGTAATTACGACTTTATTACGGTGATATGACTTTTTTGTACCACTTTATTATGATGTTATTCCTGTAATTTTGTGATTTTATTCTCATCATTTTCCCCCTCATTATGGGTTCTCTTTTAATATTCCAACTTTATTCTCATAATATTACAACTTTTTATTGTATTATTATGACTTTATTCTGCTAATATAACTTTCTGATTTTTTTTTCTTCCTCATTACAACTTCATTCGATTCTGTATTTTTTTTTCTCATAATATTAAGGCTTACTGTCATATAACTTTATACTCTTAAGTGTAATATTAATTTTTATTCTCTTAACATTAAGACTTTATTCTTGTATTAGTGTTTTTTAGCCTGGCCCTAATTCTCTGATGTAGAAACAAAATCGTTTGCCGTCAATTCAAAAATTCACGCACCGAGGGAGAATCACAGTTTTGTTGGTTGATTTTTATGCATTTGATTTTATTCATGAATAAGTGCATCATGAACGCATCTGCGTGTTAAAATCGCCTCGCCTCCTGCTGTGATGCAAATAGAAACGAGTCCAGAGAGTAAAACTGCTGATTGAAGACAGGAAGCTCACAATGTGGAGTGACTGACGGCTGAAAACGCGACTGAGCAGAAACAATTTCTTGTCTTTGATGTTGTTTTTTTCTTATGCTAGGGCGGCGATCCTTTCAGCTTGTCTTTATTGTTGTGTCTCATCTCCTTTATAATTTCCTCCCTCTCTGTAATTAAAGCAGATGCTGCCACTTTTTGCAGTTTGCCTGGTGCAGAGTCCTGCTGAATTATTAAATCATCATTTCCTGTTTCACTGCTAACAACCGACTCCAGCTGCTTGGGAATTTTCTCCAAACTCTCGCAGCAACTTTAGACTTTGGATTGCAGTTACCTTCTTGTTGCTCGTGCAACTTTTTCAGCATCCTGAAAAGTTAAGAGTTGTAGGAAAAATAGATTCTATTGAGAATTGAAATACGTAGTTCCCACAAGTCTGAATCTGACGTGGTCCGCAATTTGACCCCCCCAAAAAAGAAAAATCACAATTAGAGTCTATAGATTTATAGATTTAATTAAAAATAATTTGCTATAATTGGGCAGGTTAAACTAAGATGAAAAAATTTGAGAAATCACAATTAGATTTTAATTCACTAAGATGTAGAACGGGTCTTTAATTTGTGAAATTACAGACTTTCACCTCTTGTTGTTTCGCCGCAGGGCATCGGGTGCTACATGTTCCGCATCGACGACTTCGACGTGGTGGACGCCACGATGCAGGGCAACGCCGCCCGCTTCATCAACCACTCGTGCGAACCGAACTGCTACTCCCGCGTCATCAACGTGGACGGCCGCAAGCACATTGTGATCTTTGCCCTGAGGAAGATCTACCGCGGCGAGGAGCTCACCTACGACTACAAGTTCCCCATCGAGGACGACGACAGCAAGCTGCACTGCAACTGCGGCGCCAGGCGGTGCCGCCGATACCTGAACTAGCAACTCTGGTCTCGCACATCACCGCTCTAACGAAGAAGCCATCTTCTGTGGAGTTTAATTTATAAACAAAATCATGGGTAGTTTGTCTTCTCATGCCTTTCCTGGACAGTTGTAGCGTTTGTTTCACGCCACGCTCTTTCAAGGTGTCTGTAGCCCGCAGACGGAGCTCACCAGCAGTCGGAAACGGAGCCGTCGGCAGAACGACGAGGATTCATTCAGCACCTTACTTTGACACGACCTCCTCAGACACGGCTCCACTTCCAGTCACACCCAAAGCACCTTGTGTACATTGTAGAGCAGCTACATTTTAACTCTTCTCCGGAGAGCAGGGACTTCAGTGTTTTAGGTCTTGCTGTTATTTATCCCCAAAATATTAGTTTTAATAGTCCTCCATCAGTGCGTCCCGCCTGCAGCCAGTTAAATGTTTCTACTTTTATTTGTGATGATCTGAGTGCTTTTACCCCGCTGACGTTTTGTTGATCTTTTTTGGTGTGTGTGTATTTTAAGGCTGATGAAGGAGAATTTTCTTGTTGCAGGACTCGCTGATCCTGCCTTGCAGTCCTTTCTAAATCTTTTTGTATATTTGAACAATAAATGTCTAATCAACCAACTAACAGGAACGTGTTTGGGCTTTTAAACGGCTGGAGGTGGATGAACAGGAAGGATGCTGCTCTCGTCTCTCTCAGGTGTACTACCTCTAAGGTTTTATAGAGCGAGGTTGTATTTAATAAACCGTTTGATGAACGCCGATTCCTCATTGTTTAATCTTTCAGTACTAAAAAGCGTGAGCTACTATTATGAACACAAAGTTCGCTCTCATTGGGAGACCGGATGAATTTTTTTGTTTATCGTTTTCTCCTTTATGTTGGGAATTTCAATTAAATTTCACACGTTACTTTACAGGCGGATTATGGATCCTGTAAATAGTTGTATAAAAAATTTCTAAACCTGTTACATATTTTTTACCTTCATTTTTTTTTATTTATGTTGAATAAAAATTTGTTCAAAGTTTCTGTTCTATTGTCTGCATTTTGTAACTCGTATTATACATGTTGTCTCCTGTAGCAGTCTGTATTACAGATGCTCCAGAAGCCTCTGACTGAAGATCCAGTTGCATGACAGGCTTTTGAACGTTTTACTAGATTATCTGAAACATTAAATGTTGCAAAAAAACAAAGGAAATACTTTTTACAGAATTTTATACACTAAAAAAACTACAATAATGCTTAATCTACTGAAACATTCATTTCAAATTTACTTAAATTTACTTACTGAAATTTTTTTTGTCACATTGAGCCACAGCTTGAAAATTCACTGCAATTTTTTATTGCATATTTTCACAATTTTTACCAAGTATTCCACACATTTTTGTTATTGTTCTTTGTTTTTCATATGCTTTAAATGAACAAAAACTTTTCCCTTCAGGGTTTTCTTCTATTGCATTTAAACACACTGCTTCTGCAGTTTTTAATTGTAGTTTTATTCTTGTGACTATTCAAAATTAAAATTGACTACCAAAGAAAATACTGTATAGTTAATGTAATTTTCTTAATCCCCTTTACTTTTACTCGGAATGCAACTTAACATGTTTTGAAGAACAGATCACCAGGTATTAGTGCTGACAAGGCAAATTTATTGATCTGCTTTTATTGTAGCTAAATCAACATTATGCATAATTTTCTGCAAACAAAGCTGTGTGAAAGACTAAAACATGTTTTGTATTTGCTTTATTTTCTGGCTTTCACAGCTTCTTGGTGGAGAGCAACAACTTTTACATGCTAATGCTTGTTTATACTTTATATTGGTTCACAAGTTCAGCTGAACTGCAGACTCATGCATCTCTGTCTGCTGTCCTTGGACAGAGTGGGAACCAGGCTGAGATGAAAAGACAAGCAAATAAAAAGTGAATAAATACGCTGTGGATGCTTTCCTCAGGCGGCGCTTTGTAAACTTCGCTGTTTCTTGTTTGCAGAGGCGACCTGAACACACAAAAGGAAACACAAAAGGACAAGAAAGCAATAAATATAAAGACAGTTTCTTAGAGACAACATGGCAGCAAATACCACAGGCCAAGTGTGAGCGCCCACAGGTTGTTACATCTATTTTAGCAAAATAATTCTCAAAAATAAAAGAAGAAAAATAAAATATAATCACTTTAGTTTTTATGTAGCACAAAAAAACATTTCTGAAAACAATATTTTTATTTCAAAACTTAATAATACACAACTACAAATTGGGTACAAATTTGATAAAACAAAAGACATCACTTCTATTATTTACTTACTTATTATCAAAAATACACTGCAAAAACACAAAAACTTACCAGAAGTTTTTTGGTGGTTGGTTTCTAGAGAAAATGTCTTAGTGCACTTGAGGTAAGACAAAACTAACTTACCGGTACAAGTAACTTTTCACTAAGATAGAGGACATTGTTTTAAGTAAATAATTCATCAATGTTGTAAAAAAAAAGTGATGGTTCCGTTGGCAGATTATTTCACTTATAACATGGGAAAAATGTCTTGATATGAGTGAAATAATCTGCTAACGGAACCAGAACTTTTTGATCAATATCAATGAATTATTTATTTAAAATCAACTCCTACGCCTTGCTGTGAGTTAGTTTTGTCTTATTTCAAGTGCACTAAACTAAACAAACACAACTGATAAGATTTTGTGTTTTGCAGTGTAAAAACACAGACAGAAGGAAACATTATTTTATCTTATACAATTAAGTTGTTTGACACATTAAAGCAGCACATACATTTATACATATTAATAAAACTCTAAATATATGTATCATGGAAAACCTCACCTGTCCAGCGATTCTGTCTAAATCCCTCTGACCTTGAGGAGTGAGTCGACGACCGCTGTAAGATTAATTGGTAAAGATTAGACGCTGATTCCTTTATTGTCATAATTTAAAAAAGTAAATAAATCTTAGCCTGGCCCTAATACTCCGTCGTTAGGAGTCAACAACTGGACAGAGAATGAGTGAAAAACCATCCGTACTTTGATAAATATTGGCAAACTATTGATCAAGGTCATATCCAGATTTAATTTTCGCTCCTGTCTTACCCATTGGGGTCTTTCTCCACCATCTTGAGGCCCTCCAGGGCTTGAAGAACCTTCCTTGCGACGTTCCTGGAGCCCACGCTGAAGTGGGCGGGGCATACGCCGTTCCGCTGGCGACCTCCATAGATCTTGATCATGGCGCCCACTCCCACACCTCCTCGCAGGTAGAGGTGGCGGGCTGTGGACGCTAGAGAGGCATGAAAAGATCAAATAAATATGTACTGGTTGTTTCCTGACTTATTTGCTGTCAGTGTGCAAAATAAAGTGAAATTAAATATCAAAGTTTTAGCATTATGTTAAAGCCAATTTATATCAAATAAATCCTCACATTTAAAATAAAAGCTGGACAAATAACTGTTGTGATTTCTTTAGTACTGAGTGAAGAGAGGCTGCATAAATAGTTAACTTCACTAATGATTTTCTTTCTGTTTTTCTTATTGTAATCAATTATTTATATTGTTACAAACCCCAAAATGCACATTTCAACTCACTTAAAAATATCAATGGAGGCCCAAAAGTGCCAAAATTAATAAGCAAAATATATGAAATATTACTTAAATAAGGCTGGATGGAGTATTTTATGAAAGCTTTTGAAGGATAATGAAGTAGTAATTTTATGAGCACTCCAATACAGAAAAGAAGAAAAAAATTAATTATCCAAAAGAATCAATAAAAATTGGATCTGCTAGAGATCCAACTTTCAGTCCAGTTGAAATCCAGCGGATGAACAGTGGGAACCAACCTGCTCTGGTGTAAAACCAGTTGTCATCGCACGGAGCTAGCTCCTTGTGTCTGGCCAGCTTCACAGTGTCGACCCACTCTGGGACCTTTAGTTTCCCAGATCTGAAACGTTTTTGAGCATAATATGGAAAAATATTATGTTATGTACTGCATAGATGTGTATTGTTAGGTTAATCAGCAAAGAAACAAAGGGGATGAATGTCCTGGAATATAAATAAAATACTTTATTTATGCTTTAAAGGTTTACAACAAGAGCATATTTTATTGTAGCTAGATGAGCGTTTATTAAGGGGAAATGAGAGCAAAATCAATGACAATTGCATGGAAAGCGACTGAGCGTCACTAAATCTACTCACAAACAAGACGAAAGACAAAGTGTTTACCATAACGGAGTCCAAAAGATGTATACTAAAGAACAAATAAAAATTATTTTATTTAATAGTTGAACAATGTCCTCAAAAAGCTGCAAGTTAATAAAATTTAATCAAGTTTCACCTAGCAAAACTATGTTAACGAGAATCAGTAAAGATTATATAAACAACATGGATACTGTAATATACTTTTTAAACTGTAGATAGAATAATTTCAGAAGTTTGCAGGTTGTTGCAATCTGGTGAGACAGATTTTTTTTTTTAACTAATTTGAATAATGAACTGAATTTATTGCACTATTTGATAACTAGAATCAAGTGGAAAGCATGTATAAATATAAAATAATAATAACTTTTGATTGAAGTGCCCTGAATTGACATGTTGTGAATTTGTGCTATATAAACAAACTGAATTGAATTGGATGGATGAGTAGACTTTTCTGACAATGGAAAAAGAGAATATATTCTATTTCTTTACTTTGAAAACAAACCATAGAGAGAAATACTTAGGAAATAGTAATAATAATAATAATAACAATAATAGTGAAGAATTTGTGTATTTAAAAATATATTTTTAATATTCCCTCCCTCATTTATAAACAAAGAAACAAACATCCCATAATGTTTGTTATGTCATTAGAGTTAGCATCCGGCAGACTGGGCGACCGACTGGCAGTTAGTGACAGAAAGTCTGGCTTCACGCTTCGCCTTACTCACTTTTTAAGGAAAGCTGACAACGCCTTGACAAACTCCTGCTGGTTGACATCTTTCACCGTCACGCTGGGCATCTAGAAAAAAAAACAAACAAACAAAATGGAGACAAAAGTGAGTTGACGAAATTGTTTTAACGTTTAGAGACCTGTCGCGGCTGGGATGTGGCGCGTGCCGCAGCCGTTGGAAACGGTCCTCTTGCTAACCACTAGCTTAACTTAACGCAGCAAAAGAGAAGCTTCTGTCTATATACGGCTTTTAAGTCATAATTTTTTTGCGCCAAGAATCATACTTTTGTGATATAGTTTATAGGCGCCAGTAGGGCTCTCTCCGGTCTGAAAGTGTCCCCGTTCAGTCGAAGCTAACGCGGCGGAGCAACTGAAGGAAATGATGCTGATGATGAAGGATGGAGGAAGACTGTCCGCATAAGAAAAGGATGACACCATGAGTGCATTCAACACACCTTCAGGCTTTCATTTGATTCCTAACCTCTATTTTTAAACCACCTTCACGGTAATTGGATATTTCTCTTTATTCGTGTGTGAATTATTTTTTATCAAACTGATTAAAAATAATGACGTTTAAACAAGCTATTACGTACCAAAAAAATATCAAGTAATTCCGGTTGTATCCAGCAGAGGGTAGTGTTGTGTCTTTTCTCTTATTTTTCATTTTTCCCCAACAGATTCGAGAGTTCTTTGGAGGACTGCGGTACAGACGGCAACAGAGGAGAAGTCGTCTGAGTGAGGAAGACAACACAAGAGGGTCAGTAACTGCAATATTTGTAATAAAAGTTACTATTCCTTTCTGGAATTACACTTGCTGTGTTGTATTAGCTTGTTGAAGGGAGCTACACCTCCTTTTAGGAGTGATTTACTTGCAGTTTGTGTGTTTTTGTTGCAAAAAGACAGTTTACAGCAACTTATTTTGAGTTTTAAAGTGTAAGAGGGGCTTAGCATTTTAAAGAAGATAAGTCTTTTGTCATTTGGTACTGTTTGCTTTGATCAGTGGCCATTTTTTCGGACTGAGACTAAGTCAAAGGCCTCCTTTTGCCAGGATGAATGCCTCCCTTCAAAAACAAAGAAATAAGCACCGAGTGTTTCTAGAGATTTTCATCATTACAAATGTTATACCTAATTCACGTTTATGAGAAAATACAGCATACAAGAACCCAGCCAATCAAACTTCTAGGTTTTAACTCTTTCTTTGCAACCACTCCTTTTTTTCTTTTCCTTTACTTTTTTACTTATATTACTGTCTTCATAATATCTCTAAGTTAAAATCATTGGATAATTTACCAACCTACAGGTTTATTAAGTTTGTAGGTGATACTAAACAGCACCTAAAAATGTGCATCGAACAGACTTTAGCTGTGCTTTCAAAAGTATGAGAGCACCTGCCTTACATCTCTGAGTTTATGTAATACGCCTTATTAAGTTTTTAGCTTTAGTTTCAGTTTGTATGCCTGGGTACACGTGAATTATTGTGCAAAGCTGTTCATCTCAGCTTTGCACACACACACAAAAACTAAGGAGCAATAACGAATGTGCTGATTAAAATTATTTGTTCTCAAATTACAATAATATGTGATTAAAATATATATAGATCTAAGATTAGATAATTGTGTGTATTTAGAAATGATCGGGTTAGCATCTAAAATACTAACAGCTTTAGTAATAAAAACTGTAAATGTCAGGATCCACTGTGTGCTGGAACAGGTTTTTTATGTTGTAGCTGCAAAAGAATAAAGCATCGAGGCATCAAGTCTTTCAAAGTGACAGTTTTTAAAGGATGTAATATATGTTAATGTTAATTTTTGCATTTAAAATAATAATGTGGTAGCCGTTCATACCTGATAACATCTGAAATGTGGGACGAGTGTTTTCGGCTTGATCAGCTCTGACCTGCTGTTGAGCCTCTAACAGCCGTTTCTGTGCCAGTTCAGCGACAGCACAGACTGCAGTGTCGAGGCTTCACTTACTGAAACATCTCCTCCAAGATTTAAGAAAACAAAGGGCCAACAGTTTTTTTGTTTTCTGTTTACATTTTAGTAAGTGAATGTAAACAGAACAAATGCAAAAAGCATTTCTTTTTTTAACTAATAGTGTGCAACCACATGAGATGTTTCTCTGGAATATTTTAACAGACTGGTGTTAAAACTGAATAAATAAGGCAACATAACATTTTAACACAAAGTAAATTATAGATAAAAATAACTCCAACAATATTTAGAGCCTAACTTTAACAGAAGGCGGCTTGAGGCGGAAACTGTGGAACAATCTGGCGGTTCTGCTGGTTGCATATTTTTTACAGAAATAATTCAAAAAGTTCATGGAGAATGTGTGAGGAGTGTCTGACAGTATTCAGAGCCATATATCTGCAACAAACCTCCCAGCTCCCCTCTTTATCTTCTGCCATGGTGATATTGATCATGATTGATTTCTAATATTTTTTCTAGGTATTAATATAAAATATGTAGTATGTTTTTTTTTCTCCAGAAGCTAATGTAGCGAAAACTTGATATGATGACACAAAATGACTAAAAATATAATGTCAGCAAAGACAACTAATGACATAAAAAGTTAGGTTTTCAAAACTGTTAAAATTGTTATTAACATAGTTTATAGTCTTTTGAATAAGATAGTCAGCAGCAACAGTCCCCACATGTTGCTGTGCACTGCCGCTGAGCTGGCTGAAAGAAAGCAACTAGACAATGTAAGTGTTTAAGAATACAGCCAGTATGCTTTAGGTTATGAAACACATAACCTAAAGCATGTCACCCTTCATTCTTGTCATATAAAAAGCAAAATTGCAAAAAAACTGAAATATTTTGTTCGATTCGTGTTAAAATTGTATTTTTTAATTGTATATGTATAAAAACCATAATAGCAAACAATACATATTTCAATAATTAAAATGCTCATTTAATTTTTGCAGCAGTTTGAATAATTGTTATTCTTCTGATTGAGATTAAGACAGTTACATTAATTTACACATTTTTGCTTAAATTATTGGTGGAAATACTGTCATTTAATGACACCTTGGTGTTTTTACTGAAGGTTATTTCACAGTCAGAATCTCATACATATATTTTTTTAACTTTCTGATGAAACATGCAACTGTTATATCTTCAAATAAAGAGAATAAACAACCATTAAAGCATTAGGCATGGGCATTTATCATACTGTTTATTCTTATTTATTGTGATACATTTCTTGTGATAAGAATTTTGATTTTTGTTGTCACAATAAATCCAATGAAAATCGGTAAAAGCCCCTAAAACTGTCCGTATGGTTGATTTTACTACTATTGCTTGTTTGATGAGCGTATCAATACATTTCCATACATTTGAAAATATAATTAAATGCAGTTATTGTGAGCACTTTAGTGATATAAATAACACTTCTTTATATGACTGTTGTCCTAAATTTGTACTTACTACAAATACTAATACTCTGTCATAAAGTCACACCAATACAGTTGCTTAAAAAAAGAAGTAATAAATAGTTTTTATCATCACTTTTATTGTTATCACAATAGTACTGCAAAATATTGTGATAAATCTCCTATGAAGCATATTTTTTCTGCAAAGTTTTTGCCTAGTTTTTAATAGTTTAAGCAGATTTTACAGCCTTGCACGATGTGCTGAAGGTATTTCAGCCGTTTCTTTGAAATGAAAATGCAATGTATTAGATTTCTGTTATCAGTACGCAAATAACTGCAACTGAATCAAACGTCGGATGAACATGCATACGAACGTGAAGACATGTTCACATGCAGGACACACACCCATAAACACACTCTGTGCTCTCTGTGTCAGCCCGTCTAAGCTTCTTCCCCTCCCCCCTCTCTCTCAGCTCAACATCTCTCTCCCCTTTTTGTCCCCCTCGCCCTCTCCTTTTCCCTCCCCTCGCGCTCTCCTGCCTGCTAGCACTATTTCAAGCCTCTGCCGAGGAATGAGGGAGGGCGAGCGAGGCAGAGACACACAGATGCGCAGTTAGAGAGAGAGGGAGAGTGGAGGGGAGGGGAAAGCAGACAGGATTTAGAGTTCAAGTGCACGTGCAGAAAATAGGGTGAATAGAGGCGAGCCGGAGCAGAAAGGAAAGCAGGAACAGGAACGGCAGGAACTAGAGACGAAGCCCACACCGACTCCTTCAAAAATGGGAAGGTATAAAAGAAAAGCACAAAAGATTTACTTGTGTATGTAAAAAAAAAAAATCTATGTATATATATATATATATATATATATATATATATATATATATATATATATATATATATATATATATATAGATAGATATATAGATAGGCAGATCTATCTATCTATATACATAAATATATATTTTTCTACTCCTTTCCCCCTATTTCTCTGGGTCCTCTCCAGACTGCCACACTCCTCCTCGATCCCTCCCTATTGGATATTTCTCCATTAACCTCCAGTCTCTCTCCTTTCTCTCCGACTCTCCTTTCTCTCCCCTCCCACCTCTTCACACATGCACACGCCCCAGACTCCTTCCCACTCATTTCCCTCACGCGCCCTTACTATCCACTTTCACTGGAGACCAACTGCAATCCGCTTAGGGTTTTTTTTCTCCTCTTCCTTTTACTTTTCTTTCCGCATGCCGTTATTTCCCTTCAGTTATCCCTTCATGTACGGAGACACCCCCCTCTCGAACGCCGCACTCTTACTATGTGTGGCGCCCCTGAAAAAAAATGTAGGCCGTGGATTGTCCCCGCATTAGACTGCATGCCACAAACCGCTTGTCGTATCCTGTCAACATTTTTTATTTTTTTGCTTCTCTTCTGCAGTATTTTTTTTTGTTGTTGTTTGGAAATCGCTTTCTGTGCAGTAATCTTTTTCTAAAGTCGTGTGTGCATTGAAAAGCGGAAGCTGGGAGTTGAAGAAAGGAAAATCGAGTGTGTGGACATGTGAAGAAGATAGAGGCAAAAAAAGAAAGAAAGAATGAGGGGGAAATGGAGAGCATGGTCTGCAGTAGAAAGCATGAAGGACAGGGAAAGAGAGAAAGAGTATCAGTACTGGCAAGAAAATCAGGAGGAGGAAGAGAGGAACGAGAGGACCGTAAAGGGGGGGATTGACTCAGGAAGGAGGGACGGCCGGATAGGAATTGGTAAAATAAAAAAAAAATAAAGATGGGAAAAAAACTCCTGTATTAGAAGAAACTGGACGTTTCCTCAGACTCAGACTTTTACTCTCTGGTTTTTTCGTCATCATTTCCCCGATCTTTCCTCTCATTCATTCGTAAGTATGCAGCATGTACCTGTCCTTTTCCTCTCCATTCTTAAATACTTTATCCCTTCTCACTCTCCTGTTTTTTGTCGTCGTTTGTTAAAAATAAGCCTGTAAGTTGCCTCTCCCCCTCCATCAGTCCATCTATCCCTCGCTCTTTTCCCTCCTTCAGCTCACTTTGTATCTTGAGTCTTCGTTCGTTCTCTCCCCTCCAAACACACACACCTCTGTTCACATTCAGCAGAGCACTATGTTCTCCGAATACACCGGGTTTCAGAGGGGCCCATGAATGGGAGGCTAGCTCGCGGAGGATTCAGGGTACGTGCACATGTATCAGTCATGTGTATTTTTGTGTCTGTGCATGTGTGTTAATATGCTGTGGTGTGATTTGGAGTTAATGGAGCCAGCAGTGTCAGAGGGTCCTGCCTCTGACGCATGCGTGGATCCACAGAGCCGTCCTTCATATTTCAGGATTTATTGGGCTGTGTTTTTATTGATGAAATGCACTGAAAGGACACATGAGGTGTTACGTTTGTGAGAAAGAAAAAATTCATACTTACCTTAGAGTTTTAGTCACTTATCCAATATTTTGTGGGGGTTTTTCTCATAGAACTTCCATCTATTCATTCAGGTATTGTCAATTTATTCACGTATTGCTGCATGTGATTCACCATTAACGTGGAAATTTTATGGCCAATTTGTTCCAGGTTATTTTTATTAAATATGTCTTGAAGGGAGGGACTTTTCAATTGTATGCATCTAAGTGCAATTAAAATGAGTCTTGATATTGCTTCGATATTGTAAAAACAAATGATCTTTTTGTTGTGAAATAATGTCAAATATTCCAGCCTCAGAAATCCGAAGGCATCTCTTTCCCTTCGGGTTTTTTTTCTTCCCATCTCCTCCGTTATTCATCTCTGTGCTCTGCCTCCTCTTTTATTTACACAACCAGGTGTTATCTCTGCGCAGAGATATTTTCTATCTCCACCATCGCTCTTTGTCATTGTTCTGAGCGGAGGACATCCACGTGTTGTCCTCGTTGTATTCAAATCTTGGACATGCCATTGTTGTCTTTTTTTCTCCCCTATTTAAGCTATTTAATCGTCATAACTTGAATCATAAGAGCACATTTTTCTAAAATTACTTTGGATCAAAAGCAGTCGAGTCATTTTTCTCTTTCCAGAAGATGAAAATGATGCCAAGATCGTTAGATAACAGTTACTGCCCTACTTAAATGACGATAGTCGGTGTAAGGAGATTTGATTCTGATGCATTCGTTTAATTAATACACAGTTAAACGAGCTTTGTAGGCAGAAGGCAGCTCTTCAATTTATGGGAGCTTTTGTTTAGTAGCATCCTTAGGTCAGCCTTCTTCTGAACTCTATTCTCATGTCAGCAAAACTTAAAGCATGTTCAGAGAGATCAATCTTCCTCCAAACTCTCAAAATGCTGGTATTAGTTTCTAAATCTCAAATTTGTGTCTGCATTTCTTTGCTCTTTTCGATTACACATCTGAGGGAACTTAATGCTTCTAACCGTATAGTGGGACCCCCAGGTTATGAAATGTTACTCAGACAGGCCTGGTGTTATGTAATCTTACATAACCGAGGCGGCAGCTCAGCAGGCTCGTGATCTGAGCCTCTGGAGGAGAAGCTATATGGGTCTGCTTATGGTATGAACTCACTGACAGGGTCAACACACTCTTGAATACCTGGAACTTAAAGGGGAAGAAACCTCAACGCGATACTGCAGCATCTCTACAAAAAGAAAAACGGAGGAACTAGCTCCTCCATTCCTGCTTAAGCTTTCCAATTGCTTTTGTTTTCATCATTAATATATATTCAACTTGTATTACTTTAAAAAAATCTGCTTTTTCATAACCTTTGTTTCTGCAGATGTACAAGAGACTGCAACCCCGGTTCGTTCCCATGTTTCTATAGCAGTTTTCTATGAGTCTAGTGTGTTTCTCATTCATAATTGATGACATCCAACCACAGCATACATTAACGGATTGAACAGACCTCAGGAATTCCCATGCAAGCTGCGATTGTGCAGGTCTGACTTTAACCTGCTCAGTTTGTGTCCTCATAGAACAACTAAAATGTGCTGCAGTAAATAACAGGTCTGGCTGTTGTTAGAATGAAGATGTGGTCCGCGTATCAACGGGGCCACTGATGTTTTAAAAATCATAGTATACATGTATAAACAGTGATGTGCAAAAATATTCAACCCCTTGGATTTTTGAATGTTGTATGTCATTGAGATTTTCTGGAATAGAACAACACAAGGTAGATCATAATTATTACATTCAATGTTTTTTTTTTCAAATTAAAATCTGAAAATTGTGGCATGCATGTGTAAAAAAAACCTTTGTCGCTATTTTGGTTTAATTGCAACTGTAAGTCTTTCTGGTGACATTTTCAACATCTTGACACATCTAGAGACTAAAATGTTCAAAGTTCATGTCTGTTTTATTAGGTCAGGACTTTAACTAGGTCACATGAATATGCTTTGGTCACGGAAGCTGTATTGCTTCAGTGATCTTCACATCAGCTTTGACCAGCTTCCCTGTGCAAGCTGAAGGAAAGCATCAGCCCACAGCATGATGCTGCCATCACAGTGTTTCGAGTATTGAGGATGATGTGCGAATTTTGGTGTCAAACTGCAAACTTTTTGCAGCGAGATTTCAACTATTTTGAATTCTTTTAATATGATTCTTTGCTTGTTATAGATTAAATTTTTGGAAAATCTGGATTTTTTTTCTCTGTGGTTCAGAGAAATGTTAGCATGTCCAAGGCCGCCATCTTGCTTTACAACTGTGTTTTACAGCTTCTATTTATCTGGATTTGAATTCAGGTCAACTCTACAACATATTGGACCAGCCAGAGGCTTTGATTGTTTCAAAAATATTTATTATTTTATATTTAGAAAAGAAATTGAGGAGAAAAAAGGGACCTTGGGTCCAGCCCTTTGTTTTAGATGAACAGCCGTGTCTTTGCTGTTACTCTTTCCAGGTTCAGATGATGGATTGATCAGTTTTTATGCGGTTACTTTTATGATCAAACTATGTCTTAAACCTCTGAGGCTGTTAGAGAACCGTTTTATTAAAGTATGCACAGGTGGACCGTGTTTTACTAATTAGGTGTCCTCTCAAAGCAATTAAATTTTACTCAAAAGTATTCGAGTGAAAGGGGTTTAATAAAAACATGTTGTGAATTTTTCTGATTATTTTGTAAACAAAAAAAATCACTATTTTCTATTGATTTTCCACATAAAATCCCAATAAAATTCATTTAAATTTGTGATTTTAATGTGAAAAAATAAAAATTTTGTGAATTTTTGTAAAAAAAACAACAACAAAAAAGATCACAAAATATAAGATAATATAATATGTTTCTATTTCAGGTTGAATTTAAGATGACGTGGACTCTTGGCATGCTTTATATAAGGTAGATATATTACTTTTATTTAAGAATATGTATGGAAAATCACTATTTTGTGTCAATTTTCACACAAAGTTCTGCTAAAATACATTGAACTTTGTAAATTTAATGTGATAATTTATTAACAAAATGGCACTGTACAGTGATTAATGTGGATAAAATATTCCTTAATATAATATATCTTTTTATTTCAGACTGAATTTAAGATGACCTGGACTCTTGGACATGTTTTATACAAGGTAAGGCTATACAAGTTGCTCTAATTTTTCAAAGAATATAATTTACTGATTTATTATCCCAGCTGAGTGAATGCATTTAGCAAGGTTCAGTGAATTCAAGTGTTTTTTGTAAAACAGAGTTTTGCCTGATAGCACTCAACAGACTAGAACACTTGGTCAGCCGTTTTAGTCTGTGGCGCGATCGAAATGTCAATGCACCATCAGCATAATTCAATTACTCTGCCCTGAGTCATTCTGTCATGATTAACCTAACAGATATGTGCTAACCATGGGCCAGTCTGAGAGCAACAAACAGGGAAGCTTTCTGTTTCACAGCATGCCAGTTGGAGTCAGTCCGGCACAATACTGTAGATTATGACTTATGTTGGTTAGCAACAAGTGGAAAGGTCATCAGGTGGTCACGTCCCGATTATCAGATGTTGCTGAAAAGTGAGAGAGTGCGGGCATAAAGCCGGGCCTGTGGTTTAGCCTTGAAGCTAGTTTTGGAGATGGCCTCACATTACATTTCTGTCTTTGTGCTAATGTCACCCCATACCCCCCAACCTGCAGCACCAGAATAAGAGCTACATTCTGCCTCTGCCGTACAATTGAGCCCTTCTTGGCTTGATATTTTCACAATGTTTTTGCACAGCCCCTTCGTACACATGTGCACACGGCTCTCTGCGAGCAGCGGGGACTGTTGATTCAGCAGGTCAAGCTGCTCACCTGATGCTTCAAATCTTGTGGAAGGTATTTGCTTAGAGATTTGTAGAACTTCCATAGTAAATATACTCCAGGTCACCAGTTAGATTTTCAAATGCATTTCTCAGCGCCCACTCAGAGCTGCTACTGTTGATTATAAAAATGCACAGCTATTCCAGAAGGTTTGAAGGCATTATTTATGGGTCAGTCGTTGCAGTACAGTATGGCAGTGTTGCATGGGTTAACATCTGACCAGAGGAATGTGTTCGGGTCATCGGGGAGAATTCCTCAGTGCTTTGTGACTAGGTCATTGCACTGACAAGAGTCTGCCACCTATTTTAGCATGCACACCCTCACTCTAATTCTGTCCTTTCTTCTCCTCTTTCTATCTTTTGCATTTCATCGTTCCCAGCTTTCGTTTGCTCTCGCTGTCTGTTTTTATGTCTGGTGTCCCTTTTTATTTAATCTGTCTACTTCGCTGTCCTACTTTGCCTCACGATTTTTCTCGCCCTCCCTCCTGGCTTTTATTTGTCCCCTTGCTCGCTCGCTTCGCCCCTGTTTTTCCTTTTTCACAATTCATGCCTTCAGGTGTTTCTGCACCAGACGCCATTATTCTGTCGTCGTTGAACCCCGAGCTCCATTTTTTAAATATTTTTCTGCCTTCGTGTCTGTTTTGCGTGGCGTATTGAGTTCAGTGCTGCAGGTGCTTTTGGAAGGGAAATGCTTTGAAAAGCCGCCATGCTTGTTTTCAGTGCGGTACAGTAACATACAGCTGGCCATGTATGATTTATACATCATGTTCCCACACACTGCAGTGAGGTCTGCTGTAGCAGCAGAGTGGAGGAGTTAGCTTTGGGTCCTCATTGGTTGGCAGCAGGGGCGACAGACAGACCCTCAGGTACTGAAGTGTTTCCGCCGATGGCAGATGAGCCAATTTGACACAGTCTGATCCTCACACATGTTCACTGGCAGAAATGAGCTTTTATTTGTTTTACACAAATGTGAATCAGTATAATTTTGATATATAGAGAGTGAAAGCCACATCGGGGTGTTATTATTTTCCTCTCTGCAGTATTATTTTTATTCTACAAAAGCTTTTTAATTAAACAGATCCTCTAATTTTCTGTTGATGGTGTTTAAATAGATAACATACATACAATATTTTTTTGGAATCAAATCCGTGTTTACATTACACTAATTTCAGTGTCAGCTATGTGTGAAATTGTAAAACTATTTTAAGGAAGTCAGACTCAGCATTTTGGACTCATTAGATACCATTTCACTGACCGTGTTTGTTTGTATGCGTTCGCCACCAAAGCCCAGACAGCGAGGAGAGGTCAGACGTGACTAATAGAAGCGACTGATGATGTCACAGACAGCATCGTGCCGCTTTTGCTGCCCCGCTGCCCCGGCTTTAGGACGCTGGCGGAGGCAGCACTCAGGCACCCGTGGGTAACACACGCCAAAGCACATTAGAGGCAGGGAGATGGAGAGAAGCAGGAGAGAACGGCACAGAACACAGCTCAAGGGGACAGAGAGAGACAAACAATGAGACAGAGAGAAAAAGAGACAGACGGGTGGGGGGGTGTCAGATTTAACAGCAGAGAACGTTGAAAAATAAAGCAGTGAGACATGACTCTTGCTTTGTTCAGCAGACTGTCTGGTTGGAGTTGAAGAATATATATATCAGAATCAGAATCCTTTTATTGTCATTGTGCTAAAAAAAACCACACATATATATATATATATATATATATATATATATATATAAAAAAAAAAAAAATTCCCTTCTCACCCACCGCGGGTGGTTCTTATCCTCTGAGCTCGGGTCCTCTACCAGAGGCCTGGGAGCTTGAGGGTTCTGCGCAGTATCTTGGCTGTGCCAAGGACTGCACATTTCTGGACTGAGATGTCTGATGTTGTTCCTGGGATCTGTTGTAGCCACTGCTCCAGTTTGGGGGTTACTGCCCCGAGGGCACCGATGACCACAGGCACCACTGTGGTCTTCACCTTCCAGGCCCTCTCCAGTTCTTCCCTGAGGCCCTGGTATTTCTCCAGTTTCTCGTGCTCCTTTTTCCTGATGTTGCAATCACTTGGTATTGCTACATCTACCACAACGGCTTTCCTCTGATTTTTATCCACTACGACAATGTCTGGTTGTTCGCCATTACCATTTTGTCTGTCTGGATCTGGAAGTCCCACAGGATCTTAGCTCTGGTGTTCTCTACCACCTTTGGGGGTGTTTCCCACTTTGATCTCGGGGTTTCCAGTCCATATTCTGCACAGATGTTTCTGTACACAATGCCTGCCACTTGGTTATGTCGCTCCATGTACGCTTTCCCTGCCAGTATCTTGCACCCTGCTGTGATGTGCTGGACTGTCTCAGGGGCCTCCTTGCACAACCTACACCTTGGGTCTTGTCTGGTGTGGTAGATCTGGGCCTCTATTGCTCTATATATATATATATATATATATAATATATATATATATTATATATATAATATATATATATATATATATATATATATATATATATATATATATGGGTGTAAAACCTCCAGAATTTAATTCCCACCTTGTCTTCTGTGTCATACTGTTATATTCTTCTTTCCAATTTCAGTGTGTTTAAAAAAGTAGCTAAACCATAACGTTAGTGCCTAAGCAGCCAACATATAGGCGAAAGAAACTATCAAAATGTTAAATCGTTGCTTCACTCTCACTCTGCACTGGCCCTTTTTGTAGATAAAAAGATATTTTTATCTCCAGCTTCTCACATGTTCCCTCAGTTAATCTTGTTTATATCCATGGCCTCTGTCTGTCAGCTTTGCTCACTGAGTGAGTTTGCCAGAGGTAAAAACGATAAGTTCACACTGGCGATATGAGTGACAGTGATGCATTTGAAGGACTGCTGAACTTGATTCCTCGGACATTATTCTTCATGAATGAAGAAAAATTGATCCAGAAAGACTGAGGCTTTTCTAGATCCATTGAATGCTAGAAAATGGTGTTTATAATGATTCATAAGAAGCAGTAACAGATTATCAGCAGGTTAACAGATGCAATTTAAGTGGGTATATTCTTATTATATTTATTTTATATTTTTGCTTCAAAGTTTTCAGTTTTCTATTTTGTACTTCTATGACTATATAATAGTTTTTATTTAATACAAAATGTAATAAATTCACAAAAACAAATTCTTACCTATCTATTTAAAAAAGTAATCTACATGAAAAATTAAACAAAAACAAACAATTTTTCACTATTTTATAGTTAATGACTCTGATGAAAAATTGACACATTTATAAATTTTTTATGTAACCTATTAAGATTTTTTATGCAGTTAGAAATATTGTGAAAGATATAAATAAAAAATTCAGTTCCTTTTTTTAGATAAGAAAATAAACATTTTATAGCCTTATGTGCAATATTATAGCATTCCTTTAGTGAATTTGATCAATTGAGGAGTTTTGGGTAAATCATATTTGCAGACAAAGGTGTTTTTATATATTTCTATACAGTTTTTGTTTAATTGTGTCTCTGAATATGTTGTTTCTTTAGCCTTTTTCAGTCTGTATACTCCAGTTAACGACAGATGACTGTTAATTTAGTTGACAATTATTTCAATCATCGATTAATCTCAATGAATCCAATTAATTGTTTCAAATCTACATATTTTCTAGATACGGTTCCACATTCACATTTATAAAAGGTGAAATATTTTATCCAGCGGGAGCATCGAACTTGTCACCAGTGGTGCAGGAAAGCAAATAGTCAAAACTATAAAAACAGAAGCAGAAGGGACTTCACTGAGTTACAAATATAAATAATGTAAAGTTAAAAAGATCCCAGGTCTTATCAAATTTGTCAGTGTGATTCTGAGTAGAACAATAAAAATTTTTTTAGATTGGCACTAGACTTAATGCCTAAAAGTCACAGAATAACCATCAGGCGGAGCAGCTGTCTCCCATAATATAGCAATACTTATATCATGAAGGATTTTTAGGAATGCAGTAATTATTGCCTAAAATTTTACAATGCTATAAACTTGTGTTTACATAATAATGTAATGTTTGGCCAGTTCTACAGTTAACCAGACTGGACACAAATTATATTGTCCAAAATGGTAGCAAAGTTTAGGAAGATGAAAAAGAGAAGAAAGACAAAAACAGGCATAAATTACAACTTTAGCAATATTAGGTTTTTGCAAGATTTCCTAACATGTGCAGCCCGATGCTATTTTAATTTATAAATGTTGAACTTTTCCAGACAATAATAAATAAATCTGTATTTGAAAATATTGTATATTGACATGAGTTACA